GAGATTGAGCCTGGGAGACTGAGGCTGCAGCAACTGTGATCATGCCACTCACTGAACTCTAACCTGGGTGACAGAGGGAGACTTGGTGTAAAAAAAAAAAAGGAAGTACAGAAGTCTGGGTTCAGTGTAGGGGTAAACAAGGTCACACTCCAATAATCTGAGTTGGCTCCTCTGTGGTGACAATCACAGTGATGATTAAATGAACTTCAGCAGGATGGGTGATATATGTTTTGGAAGATTTCTTTTGAAAATGAGTAAGTGGGGAAAAGTGGTTTCAGTGTTTAAAGCAGTGAGATTCAGGATCTTTGTTAAAAGGAGGACTTGAAGGGTGGTCGGGCAGGCAAAATGGTGCTTCCAGGCCCCTGACAGCTGCCCACAGCCCCAACACTATGAAGTCAAGTTTTAACCTTCACAAACAACACATACTCTCCAGTTTAATGATCTAAAGAAAGGTTCATTGAAAAAAATCGTTTTGTTGTTAGAGGAGAATTAAGGTGATTTTACAGTAGGGACACAGAGATCCAGAAAAAGTCAGATCCTTGCCTTCTCAAGATTACACAAAGTCCGAAATCCACAAATCTTGATTCCTTGTCCAACAAAATGGAATAGCAGAAACTGCATGGGCTTTAGAATCAAACTCAATCAAGTTCAAATCCTAACTTTGCCATTTACTAGTGAAATAGCTTGTCCACATGACACAATCCAAACAACCTACCCAAGCTTTTGGTTTCATCTGAAAAATGGAAATTACCACTTCCTCTTTAGAGCAGTTTAAAGAATCAGAAGCCTAACAAATGGCACCGTGCCTGGCACAGAATAGGGACTCAATAAATAGCAATGTTTTAAGTTCCACTTTTTAATGAGCACCACTTCTGGGCCAGGCATTATTTCAGGCATTTAGGACATAGCCACAAACTGACAATGTCCCCATTGCTGTGCTGGTTAAGAAATTACAAGTAAAATAGATTATCAGCCAATTATATATGTATCTGCTTGCAAGGTTCTTTTTGTTTGCTTTTTTTTGAGATAGACTCCATGTTGCCAGGCTGGTCTTGAACTCTTGACCTCAAGCAGTCCACCAGTCTCGGCCTCCCAAAGTGTTGAGATTACAGGTGTGAGCCACTGTGTCTGACCCCACTGGCAAGTTTTTGTTCTTATGGACATGATGTCCTTTTGTTGTCTCCACGGCCAGCATGTTCTCTGACACATACTGATTTTTTGGTTCCCCAAACCAACTTAAGAGCCGGGGCTGGCCAGGGATAGCCCTAATTCTGGCTACTGGGCTCTTTGTTGGTAAGAATGGGAGATATGCTATATTCTGAAGAGATTTAGATGAGTGACACAGGTGCCTGTCCTTCAAGAATTCTCAGTCTACTAATAATCAAGATCATGGTGTAGCACTTTCTCTTGCCAGATGCTGGGCAAGGCACTGTACGATTTTCATTTAATCCACACAACCTTCTCTTAAGCTGTAGTGATTATTAAAATTGTTAAAAGAGGCTAGATGCGGTGGCTCATGCCTTTAATCCCAGCACTTTGGGAGGCCAAGGCCGGTGGATAACCTGAGGTCAGGAGTTTGAGACGAGCGACCAGCCTGGCCAACAACATGGTGAAACCTCATCTCTACTAAAAAATACAAAAAACTAGCTGGGTGTGGTGGCGCAGGCCTATAAGTCCAGCTACTTGGGAGGCTGAGGCAGGAGAATCGCTTGAACCTGAGAGGTGGAGGTTGCAGTGAGCCGAGATCGAGCCACTGAACTCTATCCTGGGTGACAGAGCAAGAGTCTGTCTCAAAAAATAAAATAGTTAAAATAAAAACTTTAGACAAGTTAAATTTAACAAAGAATGATTCATGAATTGGGCAGGCCCTACGACCAGGACAGGTTCAGTGAGACTCTGGGGTTGCCATATGGCTGGATATAACATTTGTGGACAGAAAAAGGCAAATAGTGCATAAAAAATTGAAGTAAGGTACACAGACCTCACTTATTCTTGTTAAACTTATTTTGGGTGTGTGCCTTATTTCAACAGCTGGCTGCCTGTGGTTGACTGAAGTTTGGCTGCTGTGATTGGCTGAGACTTGGCTACTTGTTACAAGAGAAGGTTCCAATTTGCTTACACCTCGATAGGTTACAGTTCCCTATGTATGGAGAAACCTTTAGGCCAAACTTAAGATATGTACAGAAGTAGCTCTAGGCAAAATTTAACATAATTAATTTTCAACATGATTTGTTGCACCTTTTAATAGTCTCAAAAACAATTGAACTGAATTCTTCCAACAGATAAAGAAAATTCTTTTGGACAGCTTAAACATTCAGTAAGGAAGAAGTGTGAATAAATTTTGCCAAGTACTCTTGCTCTGGGATTTAAGGATTCTAATGCCAAAGGTGACAGGGATTTCTTTTTTTAAAGAACTGAACTCTAAGTTTCCTGTTTACACTTATCAAAAAATTGTGAAGAGCCTCTACTTACAGGATTGATAGGCAAAAGACCAAATACCTTGGACACCATTCCTAACACCCAACTGATTGGGAAGACATGAAAAACAGGTTTCTGGTTTCTTCTCAAAGGGTTATAATTATCTTTAAACCCCAGGCTAGGTCACGTTTCAACACCTGCAATGGCTTCTCTTGTAGTCACAAGGTGAACCTTTACCGTGGTATTGAAGATTTCTTGCAACTTGGCCCCCGCATATGATTCTCACACATTCTTTCAGGCACCCTATCAGCCACTCAAGGTCCTTATCCGTTTGTTGCTTGAACTGCTCACCTGGGCCGTCTTCACATCTGTGGTTTAGCTAATACCTCCAACTGACATGCTCCCCTCACCCATTTCTGCTCATCTCTCAGTCCAGATACCATGGCCTCCTCCGTTGAGCCTTTCTTGATTGCTCTTTCTGGATTGCTTCCTCTTCACTCGCAGACAACATGGCTTCTGTCTCTTAGTAGAATGAAATACATGTGGCCTTTTTCCTTGGCTTAGCACACCTCCACAGTCCAGTCTTGGATAGAGTGACTGTCGAATGCTGCTAGCTAAATAGGAAGCACCAGCTGCTGCTGTCACCTCTGCACATGCTCCTCCTCCTCAGCCCGCAGGGCCTCTGGCAGCGGGACATCTATTTGACCACCAAGCCTTGAAATCCAGGGCTGGAAGAAAGCTCAAGGGGTGGCCCAAACTTGGTCCAGAGCCCCCCTAAGGCAATCTGGAGGCAAAAGATGGTCTAGTATGATCTGATACTAGGAACACTATCAATCCTTTTTTCATTCTTCTTATTGGACCTATTAAGTTTTTGATATATTTAATTAAAAAAATATACAAATACATTCTCTTCAAAAAGATTCATACTTTATAGGAGCCAAGAATGAAAGTGCTGCTTAACCACTGTTCCTCCCTCTCCCTTCCCAAAATAACTGGGGACAGTTTAATGCAAAGTTTTTATACATCCACATGCATATATTTACACAAATATACATATTCTCAACATAAATATTGCTCTACAATTGGTTTTTTAAATCTTAATACACTGGTTATACAGGAGGCTGAACAATTTTCTAGTATGCCTGTTGGTCATTTATTTCTCTGTGAGCTCTGTTCATAACCATTGCCTGTCTTTTCTATTGGGCTGTTACCAATAGAAAAGATGATTATTGATTTGTACTCTTATTGTGGACACTCATCTTTTGTTACATATGTTACATGGACCTATTCTCCATTGCATTAATTTACTATTTCCTGACATTAATTTTGGGCAAGCCATTTAACCCAAGCTTCAGTGTCCTTACCTAGACAATGAGGATATCTGCTGCATAAGACTGCAGGAAGAATTGACTGATAAAAACTGAATGATGCCTGGCACTCAGTAAGTACTCAATAAACATTAGCTATTCTTCACTACAGACTTGGGGTTACAAGTTGGCTAAATGTTTAGTGTGGCCCACAGGCTTTAAATATATTTGAACCCTTGAGGTGAAGCATGCATTTTCTAGGTGGCCATACCTTCCTCTGCCTCGCCAATCTGTTTTCTACACCATAGCTTTCAGATTCATGTCATCTGCCTTCCACTCCCCGAAGTTTTCTTTTTCTGAGACAGGGTCTCGCTCTGCCACTTAGACTAGAGTACAGTGGTGCAATCATAGCTCACTGTGATCTCAGACTCCTGGGCTCAAGTGATGCTACTACCTCAGCCTCCCGTGTAGCTGGGACTACAGGCAAGTGCCACCAAGCCCAACTAAACTTATTTTTTGTAGATATGGGGTCTCACTATGTTGCCCAGGTTGGTATCAAACTCCTGACCTCAAGTAATCCTCCAACCTTGGCCTCCCAAAGTATTGGGATTACAGGCGTGGGAACCATTATGCCCAGTTTTTACTGGGCATTCAGTAAGTCTCCAAAGATTTTAATGGATAAAAATAAAGCAGGCTTTGAAATTACATGTTGCCTATTATCGTGGCAGCTCTATGTGTCCTTTATGCACTGCACAACTCCTGGATGTTGTTCAGAGTATATCACACTTCTGAAGCCCCCTGCGGTTGGGCAATATACAACCTGCACATCTGTACATGGCAACCTGGCCCATATTTTAAGAAGTTTAAGTGAAATTTTCAAAGATTTCACAAGATGTATCCTTTGCTCTCACAACATCCACCTGTAGGATCAAGTTGGATGGTGTGATATTACTAGTCTATAGATGGGGTAAGAGGCACAGAGCTAGCAAGCCAGAAGTGGGGCTAAAGCTCTCAATGTTCAGACTGGGGCTGTGAAGGACTGAGTCATCATGTCTCTGCTTGGTACCTGGTCAAAGGCAAGTTTAGGACTTCAGGATTTCAAGAGGCCTTCCAGAGATCATCAGGAAAAAGTCCTAACAGAAATTACTACTTCTATAACAAAGCCAACCACAGGTGGCATCAGTCTGGATAATAACTCATTATCCGCATGTAAAACTCTATATGTTAAACGTTTCAAAAATAAAGAGCAAAACAAACCTGAGTCTGACCACCAGGTTAATAGCTGAGGTCTTTATTTCAATTTGTATATACAGTAAAAGTGCTGCTGAGAACCTGCAGCGACCAGACAGAACATAAATTTAAATCTCTCTCAACAATTAGCAGCTTAAGATCTATCAACTACAGTGTTAATGTTCCACACGTTCACAAGTGTCATTTCTTTACGTTTCAATTCGTGCAAGTGAGTTTTTATTCTTACACACTTTTGATAAAACATACTTACAGTCTAGTAGTCAATCCCTACTGAGGATATCACCTAGCATACACGACACACAGACAGAAATGTTAACTCTTAGAGCCACATTCAAAATCCCAGGTTTCACTTGGGGTGGGTGTATGGGAACCATAATTTTGCCTGTGTCAGATTACAATAATGTTTGGTTTTGTTTTGGATGCTTATTTTCCAAAGCTGAAAGACAGCTCCTTATTGGAATTCTCTCAGAACTCAGCATTTCATCTGACTGTACCTCAAAGGAACATGAAATCAAAAACAAAACCAAATGCACTGAAGATCACATGAAAATACGCTCATTATCTGCACATGGCTAGTGAGGAAGGCTTGCTCCCAGTGTTTTTCTTGGCATCAGACTTTTACTCCATTTAGAACAGGGGAGAGAGAAGACCCCAGTCAGTGAAGTATAAAATTTAACCTACTTTTGCTTTTTAAGGAGCCAGTAGACTGGAAAGCCTTCCTTACTAGGACATACTGAGTATACCAAGAAATGGAAATTGGAGCAGACAGAAGTACCCTTCAATTATCATAAACAATGATTGGAGCAGACAGAAGTATCCTTAAATTATCATAAACAATGTAAAATGTGCATTCTACAACCTGAACAGTCACCCAGGCTAACACAGCCAGCTTCACTCACCCAGGCTAGGGGCATGGACAAATAATCCAGGAATGCTTCATTTTTAAGGGAATGAACATAATTTAACATAATTTCTTTTTAGAGAGGAGCACTCAAATGAGGGGAAGTTTCCACCCAGAACAACTGTTAAACCATTAAAGCCAGGTTATAGAAGAGCTCTGAAAAGACAAAAGAACCCAAGAAAAACCACGATGCAAAGAAACTCAAACGTAACAGGATGGGCAGCAAAAGGAACAGGAAGGTATGAAAACAGATGCATGGTTACAAACAGCATTAAATGCACACAACTGCTGGGTATGGTGAATAATCAAGGTACAAGAGAGCTGGAAAGCCATTACTACACCTGATTTGCACCGAAGGTCCTTCCTAAGACAGTTTGAGAAAGGAAGATAGAAAGTCAGCTTGGGATTGTTTGACTGGAGCTCAGGGGGCTTTCTATAGGTGAAAACCTTCCTTTGATAGAAACCGTCCCAGGGCAAATGGGAAAAGTTACAATCCATCTATCACAGTGACTTCCAGTGCCCACAAAACTTAGTCTTCAGGCAGTTTGGGGGACTTAAAGGTTCTAGCTTAGAAAAACTGGTGGATTGATGCTAGGGCATCTTTTAAATAACTTTGTGTGGGCTCTCTACTCTGAGCAATTACACCAAAGTAGAAAGTTAGGAGAAACTGTTGTTCAAAAGTTCAGTGTCCTTTGGGACCCCTACCTAAAAAGTCACTGCGATATTTTTAGGCAAAGTTAACATTTTAAATATATTGGTTTGGGGACAATTTGTTTTTGGCATGAACATGAATTGGTTCTAATTTTTTTTTTAAAGAAAAAGATCACCTCTTTGGCCCTACCCTGGGTGCTAGTTTTGAGGGGGCAACAGAGCTAGCAGATTTACTATAATCAACGGAGGTTGGGGTGAAGACTGGGGTACCTGAGTTAAAATATCAAAATAGTTATGGAAACAACATGCTGGCTCTGAGAAATCCAGCTTGCCAAAGCAAAAGGAGGCTGGCACCATTAGTAAATTGTCCTTTCAGACAGGCAGGGCAATGCTAATCTGAAGGAATTTCCTGGTAGGGGAAACAGGCAAAGCATACTTTGCTACTCTTTTCAGGGCATCTTATATGTACTTCATTGCACAGAATGAGGCCAAGAGGGAACAGCGTTTGTGTCCCAATACTACAAATAATATGGAAAGATTAACCAAGCTCTCTAGATAAACTCTAAATGTTCAAGTTCCACCAGGATGATGGAACTGGTTATAGGATGGGGGAAGGCAGCTCATTTCATTTTTCTAAACCACCTACAAAAGTCCACTGAGCATAATTATGTTAGGTTAACGAGTCAGTTTACATTAATAGGAAGCTGGCAACATTTTACACCCAAAACTCGGGTCCTTCTAATCTGACATTTCCTTCACTGTTCTTTAGGAGAATCACCTTTGATTGATTCTCTTAGGCAGACAGAATAAAGCTTTGAAATTAAGAATGCTGGGGCCAAAATGAAGACAGAGACTCCACATCACTTTGGTTTCAGTAATTAGGGGGTGTTAAGAAAATAAATTAAGGAAACACAAGGACTTATTTATGACTTTTATAGTCTCAACTTTTCCTAAAGACAACCCCAGCCCAAGATCACTGGGTGAACATTTTCTTGGGGCAAAAAAAAAATCCCTATCCTAGTACACTAGTTTGTGGAAACAGCCTCCCCCTCTCCTTGCACAACCCTTTCCTCTCCAACCAAACCAAACCCATAAAACCAGGATGTGGGGATGTCCGGACAACAAAAAGCAGCAGCAGTAGCTAGAGGGAGTTTAAACTGCATCTCAAAACAAGGGCGGCAGAGGGCAGCATTTACAGCAAGACTTTCTTACTCAAACTGTTTCAAGACAAAGGGAGCAGCACACTTAAATATCCACACATTTCTTCATTTAAAAACATCACTTCTTTATTTCAAAGGAAAATAAAAGACCCTCCCAACCCTGTCCAAAAAAACCCAATAATAATAATAACAATAATAAAAAATCCTATTAGAAACCATAAGGAAGCACTGAGAGTTTGAGTATTACATTCTTCAAGTATGCTGTTTGGATATTTTATTTTTAGGTTGTTAACTATACATATATAAAAAAACCCTTAAAAGTGCGGCCAAGGGATTTTGCTTAAAATTAAGTATTTAGAGGGTTACTGAAAAATACTGTAGTAGGACTGTGCAGTGATCCTTTGGGGGATGATGCTTTCACTTTTGTATCCTAGCAAAGGTTAAGGGGCAGGTTCAAAAGTGATCATACTTCCAAGGGTAGCTTAAGTGGCCAACTTGGGTGAGAAGGCCAGGGAGATCCATGTGTTCTTCCACGGACAAGGAAAATCCACCCTGAATCCAAAAATTCAGACATGGAATGTGGCAGGATTTCACAGTAAAGTTAGTCTGGGATGGGGAAAAGTGATGAGCCCAGACAAGGCAGGGTGTTAGGTTTAACTGGTTTGCCCTAATCAGGTTTTCGCATCTTTTTAGTGGGTTTTAGTGCAGTCCTTCAAGCCACAATTTAGATTGCCCTTCAGTGTGCTCCAGATTGTTGGTTCATATTAAAGGACTGTTTAAGAGTTGCATCCCAAGGAAAATCATGCTACATAAAAATGATCCAAGATTTTCGCCCAAAAAACTTCTTGGATAAAATCTAAAAAATACTATTGCAATTGCGTCTCTTGAAGAAAAAAACATTATTCTAAATGTAAACAGATTCACTCAACTCTTTTGTTGTTGTAGAAAACTTCGGAGTAGGTAAGTTGCTGTCTAACTCTCTGCTGCATGCACTCGCCAGAGGGTAGGGAACAATGCCTTCCGTGCCAGCATCATCTAGATGAAAAGAACCGTTCCACATAGCTGAAGAGGGCGTCCCAGTGCTTCCAGAGAAAGGCAATGAAAACCACAAGGAATAAAGTGCTGAACGTCCTGTTGCGAGTCTTCATGAGGGGGACCACACAGTTGGCTACAGTGGAGACAAAGACCAAAAGGACCGCCATGACAGCCAGGAGGATGTTGATGAGTTTGCCCAGAAGGTTCCGGGCAGTGGCATTCTCTAGCCCTTCTAGCTGCACCACCTGCTGCTGCTGCTGCTGCAGCTCCATCTTGGAGATGCGAGTCTGGCATGCCTCCAGGGCCTCCTGTGGGCCAGAACAGGGAAGAGTTAAGCCTTCTTTTCACAAGTACTCCGAGATGCTGACACGGCCCTGGGCAAGCCAGATGCATCTTGAGCAATGCCAATGATTTTATAAATACGCTGGAGCCTTGAATGTAAAAGGTTAGATGGATAATTCACTATACGTTCCATTGCTTTCCTGTGTGATGAGTCACAGGAAGCAGTGGCCACACTTAACATTTATTTAGTCTAGAATATTTTAATGACAAGATATATGATTTCTCTTTTTTCATTGAAAAATTATTACTCTAAGTTGCACAGGACAAACATATTTGTTCAACATACAAAATTTCAAATAGGATAGTTTCTATTGACATTTCCTTCAAGTCCAATCCCTGTCCCTGAGCTACTACTGCTTGTTTTATGTTCACCCTTTTATCTGTGTTTAAGTGTATACATATATGTATCAAGGAATATATATGGAATTATTATTTTTATTTCCTATCTGTAAACTAAAAAAAAAAAAATCCTAAGCCCTCAAGCTGAATGAACAGACTCCCTTTTGGCCAAAGGGGACCCCAAAGAAACCTGAAAAAGTGAGTTCTTGGCAATGACGGGAAAGAGGCTGAACATTTCTCATATCCTCTCCCTTTTGGAGTTTAGGCACAAATAACTAGCATTAAGGCTAAAATAGAGATCATAAGACTGACAGAATGGACTCTTTGTGGCAGTAAGATACCACACTATAAACTAGACCTAAGGCCATGCCAGACAAGGGTTAAGTTGCACCCTACAAACCACAACATCTCATTAAATTAGTTTTAAAAAAATTAACCCGGTATTAATGTGGCATTCTTTCCAACCTGACTCGGGTATGGCATCATATGAAAGAGAGCAGACCCCATTAACTCAGGCATTTCTTTGTACTAACTTCAAGTCTTTAAACAAAGTTTAACTCTTTCAACCAACTGCCAACTAAAAAATCCCTAAAACCCATTATAACTTGATAGCCCCTACTTAGAGATGTCCCACCATCTTAGGCCAAACCAATGTATACTTTCCATATGTGATGATTCAGGATTTTACCTACAATCCCTGTCTCCCTGAAATGTATAAAGCCAAACTGTAATCCAACTGCCTCGGTGTACTTTCTCAGGACCTCTTGAGACTATGTTCCCCAGGCATGGTTACTTATATTAGCTCAGAATAAACCTCTTTAAAATATTTTACATGGCTTGGCTTTTCCAAACATGAATAGTATCATACTATAGGAATCGATTCACAACTTGCTTTTTTCATTGAACAGTGGGTCTTGGTGATCTCTCCATGTCAATATGCAGAATCTACCTCATTCATTTTAACTGCTGCATAGCATTTTATGGTATGGCTAGGCTATGTCATAGTTTATGCAGCTAGTTCCATCTTGGGGATTTTTAGGTTGTATTCAACTTTTCCACTATAACAAGAATGCAGTGAACAGCCTTTGAACGTGCTTCCTTATACACACTACCTGGTGTTTTCTAAGTCAAGTCAATCCCTGACATCAGTGGAAAGGGATCTCTGACCTGCCTTCTTGAAAAGGGCACACTCTCCTTTAGGTTGATCCTCTGTAAAAAGGACATTATGCCTACACACTAGACCAAACATTAAAAATGTCTGTTGTCCTCAAGGCCATGGCCTTTGCCCATGAGTTTAAATTAATTCCACCAAAGTATTCAGGGGATAGAACCTATTTCCTTAGCTATCGTCCTCCAAAGTTGGTTGGAGCCCTGAGTTTTTCTGGTCCTGGTTTCAATGGGTCCTGGTTTCCTGGGATTTGATGTAAGGCTTCCGCAACTTCAGACTGAAGTCAGCTAGAGAATGGAAAGACAATGGATACTGTCTAGTCCAGAAGGTTCTTAGGGAAAAAAATAATTAAAACATAAACAGGGCCTGAAGAAGATGGCATCTGGGTAAATGATCTAGACAATTCCTTTGATTCTTTTAGGCTGTTGTAATACAAGTTTTCTGGCTCACTTCCCTTCTCTGAGAAAGCGTCTTCCAAAATACTTTCATACAAAACTACAAATAACTGTTTCCTTAGAAATACCTCCCTATAGAAATAAGGAAAAATTAAATATCTACTTCCTCATAGAATAAAATGGACGAACTATTAGCCTTAATTAAACACTACTGCCTCATGGGTTATTCTTGCAAACTGTCTGGTAATATGCCTATATGAGATTTGGATTTGGCAGCTGGGATAAAAGCCCCCTTTCCCACAGAAGGAGCAGACAAGGGCAAAATGGCCCTAACATTTGTCAGAGCTGCTTTTGAAGCAGTAATGGACAAATAGGATGCAATTGGTTTACCATACACTGAGACTACTGTGATCCTAAGAAACATTTCCCAAGTGCCAAGCAGGCATACCAACCCAAAATGGTATAAACTTTTGAGAAATGCACATCAATCATTTTAAGCGTAGGTATACGCTTACATGGTTAGTATAAAAGCTTTTCTTTGTACTCTACCTTCTCATCTTTTTTCCTTCCTCTATTTTCTTTTTTGCTTTCTAACCCTATTCTATTGTGCATTTACACCTTTTCCTTCTTACTAACCTGGATGTCCCGAGCCCGTTCATAGGACTGATATGCGATTTTTTCTTCCATGCTTGCCAATTCCTGCTTCAAGTTCAAGATTTCATTCTGGTGGAGCTCTGTTAGGTCATTTAGCTGTTCTTCTAATCGTTCACATCTAAGGAGAAAATGTTAGAATTTTATGCATTCTGTGAATATCTTTCCTGGTATTATTTACATCCAATCCCTAAAACCCATTCTGCAAAGGGAGAAAATAAAAGCACAGAGAAATTGCGTGGCCTGGGTTAACAGGGTGTGCCAGTGGTACAGCTTTTAGTCTCTGGAAAAGATAGCTTGTTTCAGAGCCAAATCACACAGCAACATGGCTTTTTCACAACCTTTTCTATGCACAGTATTGCAGCGATGCCAGCAGCCCTGATTAACTGAGCATAACCATAATATTAAGGCAGTTGTTAGGCTACTCTAAACAACATATGGGAGAGGCAAAAGCTAGGGTACAATTAAGCAAACCTCATGAAAAGATAACACACAAATGGAAACTGAACTTCTGGCAGTCACCAGTAGCTTATTCCAGAACTGGTCAGCTCACTTGCCTGGATGTTTGTGATTCACAGCCTTAGAATGCCAGAGCCAGAGAGGCCCATCATCCCCATGGCCAAGCACAGTGTCTGGGATATTTCTGTCAACAAATATTTACTGAGAGCCTACTGTGTGCCAGGCATGTTCAAAGTACTGGGAATATTATGGTAAGTAAGAGAGGGTGACTGCCCTCAGGAGTTCATACCCTAAGGAGTGGGGGAGGCAAGATGATTTCCCATAGGGAGAAGAAAAACAAAGAAGATCAACAGGTGTATATGACTGAGTGCCTGAAGGCTAGTGAAACTGGAATGGTCAGGGAAGGTCTCTTGCTAGTTCAATTCTATTAAACAATGAAGCTTGAAACTTGAGCGATACAAACCGAGCCTTGTGAAAATGTGGAGGGAAGAATGTCTTAAGCAGAGGAAATAGTGTGTATGAGGTTCTTAAGATGGGAATTAGTTTGGCATGTCTGAGGGATAGAAAATAGGTCAGTGTGGCTGTAGCTGAGTAAAAAACAGGGAGAATAAAGGGATATAAGGTTCCTTGGGAGTAGGAATTATTTTATTCCTATTGTATCTATTGCACTTAGGACCACATAAGGGAAGATTTACTCTACATAAAAATGGAACTTGGACAAGGCATCTAAGGAGAGGCAGGATTAGAAAAGGTTTAAAGGATGAGATCAGAGATTCTAGGTGAAAAATGAATGTGAGTAAAGGGCTGGAGATAAATGGATGATAAATGTACAGAATAACTAGAATAGTGGATCTATGTTGGAGAATAAAGGAAAATCTGGAAGATGAAAAGAGTTGGGATTCTAGAATAGATAGTAAATGAGCCCAAGGCAGACTCCTGAGTAGAGGAGCCATGTGATAAACATGAGTTTTTAGGAAAATGAGTCTTCTCATAGTGGTGAAGATGATAGACTGGGGTAGGTTGTATGTGGAGTCCCAGGAACTAAAGAGCTATGTAGGTAGGAGAAAGGCTGAAGACTCCACATTTAAAAACACTAGAAACAGAGAGGAAAAGAAAGAATAAACACATTGTCTAGCCTCTGGTACCTAGAATGGAAACCTCTCTGTCCGACAGAGGGCAGCTCTTGTCCCAACAGGGAATGCAATACCATTCAGACAGCACATACTTAGCACCATCATGTGAGTCTCAAGAGGTAATTTGTACGTTGCAGCATCATAAACACTCTCCCTTCCAATAATTATGTAATAAATAATAATATCCTAAACTCTACTGCTTTTCTAAGAAACAAGGATTTTTTTTTTAAAAGGCATCATCTGATCCTTTTTACCATATTACTGAATCCTATTTAGTTCTTCTTTATCCTTGATAGGAATTTCTACATTGCCTTCTTTTATGCTGAAACTCTTCCTGTTACTGAAGTGACTGAACAGACTAATGAGAAAGCAGTCCTACCTTTGATTGGTAACTAGGGCCAAAGTTCTCTATGACTCTGCCTTTTCCTTTCATCTGCTGCCCAAGGTATGTGCTCAGAAACAGGTCATATCTCTAGAATTGATTTTCCACCAAATTTTAAGTTCATAAAATGCCATAAAATTATGTTAAAATAATATCTTTTCATGACTGTCCTATGTTCTGTAGTGTTTTTGGTGTTGGATAATTTCATCATTCTCTCTTTTTACCAGAGAGGAGCTAGAGACTTTTTTAAAGTGGCATTTTTTAAAGGTTGTATCTGGTAGCAAATTACTCTCCTAAACTAAGGACTGTTGAGTGGCAGGGAGGGGAGCGGGGTGGTGGTCACCAGCCTGCATTCTGATGAAAGCAGACACATATGACATCTCTGCATGTGTCCCATAGGCTACCATACAACCTCTTAGCCCACAGATTTTAGGCCTCTTAGGAATCTTATTTGATATTAAATATGGCTCATACATACCAGTAGAACAGATTAAAAAACAGTAGCAACAGCAACAATTTAATCAATGCCTACTATGCAAATTCATTTCAAGAACCCCAAGAGGGTAGAAGGTATTATCTGCATTTTATAGATGAGGAAACAGAAGGTCAGAGAAGTTCTAAAGTGAACTGCCCAAGGGCACATATGTATTAAGTAGGGCAGGAAGGATTTGAATCCAGTTTTGACTTTAAAATCCAAGTTCTCAAACTTTACAACGTGATGCCATTTTAAAATTAAAGAAGCCCAGATCAACTAACTCTCTTTATAAGTAAGAAATCTGAGTCAGAGTGCTAGCGATCCAAATCACTTAGCCAAAGGGAGCTGAAAAGAACTACACTTATGTGATGGGTTGGAGTTTGATGTCAAAGTGGAGTTGATGGGAGAAGGAGGGGTGTAATAAAAAGATTCTGAACCTATAATTAAAAGGTAAGAGTTGGTGAGGGCACAGAGAAATCTGAACCCTCATATACTGCTATTGGGAATGGAAAATGGTACGACTGCTCTGAAAACAGTTTGGCACCTCCTCAAAAAGTTAACAGTTACCATGTGACTCAGCAATTCTATTCCAGATATAACTGAAAAGAAATGAATACTTATTTCTATATAAAAGCTTGTACACAAATGTTCATATCAGCATTATCATAGCCAAGAAGCATAAACAACCCAAAAATGAAGACAACAGAATACAAGGCATGCTTATCTTTACAAATAGCATGAGGCAAGAAGCAAGCTGAATTCAAAATGATCTTGACAGATTCAAGTGCAGCCAAGACTTTACCTGGGATTAATTCTACAGAAATAGGGAACTACTTCCTACTGCTGAATTCAGATATCAGAGGTCATGTAATGAGGGGGTAGCTTGTTCTTTGTAACGCCACAGAACTAAGGAGCAAGTCTTAGAAACAGTGGTCTTTAGTTCAGTTTTAGAAAAAAACTTTCTAATAGCTGTATCTATCTAACAACGAAAAAAAATATCTTCGAGAAAATGAGACCCTGCCACCACTGATATTAAAGGAGAGGCTGCTTGTCAGGGATGCTGCAGAAATAAATCCTCTATTGAAAGAGATTTAACTAGATGCCTGAGATCTTTTCTAACCCCTAGTTTGATTCTTGTAGTCAGGGATCTTGTTTTCCTTTTTTTTTAAAAAAAGAAATGGGGTCTTGATCTGTTACCCAGGGTGGAGTGCAGTGGTGCAATCATGGCTCACTATAATCTCACATTCCTGGGCTCAAGGGATCCTCCCACCTTCAGCTTTCTGAGTAGCTGGGACTACTGACAGGCACCAACAGGCCTGGCTAATTTTATTATTTATTTATTTTTAGAGAAAGGGTCTTACTTTGTTGCCCAGTCTGGTCTTAATATCCCAGGCTCAAGCAATCCTCTTACCTTGGCTTCCCAAAGTGCTGGGACTACAGGTGTGGGCCACCTTACCTGGCTATTTTCATTTTTCAAGCTATAGATACTTAAAATGTTTGTGGCATATTTGCCTTCACAACATATTGATTTTAGCAACAACAATCGGGGGTAAGGAGGTACACAAAATAGTCGTGGTAATTTAAGAGTTATGTAAAATCAGGTGTGATATACTGGGATTCATTTGGTATGTGAGCTGGTGATAAATATATATGCATCAGAGAGTGCTTGCAAAAGTCCTCAGCACTTCTCAACACTTTTGAATCTTACTATAAACCAATGTTTATCATAAGAAGGTTGCAAACATGTCAAAGATTCTGGAAGTCATTTTCTTTCTTTTTTTTTTAAGTGGAGTCTCAGTCTGTCACCAGGCTTGAGTGCAGCGGCATGATCTCGGCTCACTGCAACCTCTGCCTTCTGGGTTTCAAGTGATTCCCTTGCCTCAGCCTCCCAAGTAACTGGGACTATAGTCATGTGCCACCACACCCAGTTAATTTTGTTTTTGTATTTTTTGTAGAGATGGGGTTTTCCCATGTTGCCCAAGCAGGTCTTGAACTCCTTGACTCAAGTGATCTTCCTGCCTTGGCCTCCCAAAGTGTTGGGGTTATAGGCATGAGCCACTGTCCATGGCCTTAAGCCTCCATTTCTTTATGTCCACTTTCTCAATTGTATATATTTTGAAATTTTCACTGTTTCCAGTATATTTATAATGTTTTTCTGATGACATCACACAAATGGATTTACTGGGCACACACTCTATCCTCCTCAACCCTAGGTATAAGCCTCTCTTACTTCTTATTTCATACAGCTAGGTTCCTGCCATTTCCCTGGCTTAAGTTTGCCAAATAATTCAAATAGTTCCATGCACTGGCCTGTTCCAAACTTTCTTTTGTATTGGTGAAACTAGCCCACCTATGTATGCGTGTGAGGGAAGGTGTCTCGAGTAAATTTTTTCTTTTTTTTTAAGAGACAGTCTCACTATGTTGTCACTATGCTGGAGTACAGTGGTTATTCAGAGGCGTAATCTTGGTACACTGCAGGTTCAAACTACTGGGCTCAAGTGATCCTCCTACCTCAGCCTCCTGAGTAGCTGGGACTATAGGCCTGTGCCACTAGCCCAGCTAAAGTAAATTTTATCTAATCTTTTCAGGTCTCCAGAAAGAGATAATAGAAACTGCTAATCCTCACCATGCTCTTACAGAAAATAATGTCCTTCAGAGGTTGAACAGTTTAC